GACCAGCAATAACAAGGATCCACAACAGAGTTAAAAACATTATAAAGAACATGAGGACTGTGACTGTTGTTTGAAACGTTAGATAAAAAAGCAGTCGTAGCAGCTTTAACAGATCTCTGATAATTTGACAAACTGTCTTTAAAGATGTCCAGGGAAACCTGCAGTCTGTCCTTACTCCATTTCCTCTCAGCTTGTCTGCACTGACGTCTGAGCCATAGGCGTCGCAACCATTATATGTGAAGGGGACAAGTCCCCCCACATAAAAAAAAAGTTCATTTGGACCCCCCCACTTTTACTAAAAACATTAGTTCAGGTGGCGCAGTTTCTTTCTTCGTGAATGAATCCATTCCACTTGATTAATAGGAGAATACTCAGGCCACTAAAACTCCACTCCAAGTTTTCCTGGTTACCTCCAACTCTAAACACAGCAGCCTGTTGCCAATATACGGTGGTCACAGAATATGGTGTAACACCTGCAGTGTTTCTGTGCGTCTGCTTTGGCAGAAAACGCGCACATGTAGAAGAGATGGACCGACCTCTGTGTTACTCGCTCGCTAGTTTAGCGAGCTTTGTGCGGGCAGTTGTTGACCGGGGGGTTTATCATGAACATATATTCATGTTAGGAGAATGTTTGCGAAGAGCACTACGTCTGTAGCATCTTATCTTATCAGTAACTGTGACGCTGCAGGTGTAAGAGACTCTGTGTGTTCAGGTGCATTAAAGTTGAAACGTCTTTAAACCCCCACACCTTGTTGTCCTCAAGCTTCATGACAAACATCATTTAGATGAGGAGTGTTGAACACAAGTAAAAAAGTCCAGTGGTGATGATTTTTATTTCTCTATAAACACAAATAGTGTCGACCTGACGCTCTGTGTTAAAGTGTATTAAAGTTGAAATGTCTTTAAACCCACAGCTGAATTTACACAAACTTGGTGAGAAACATGTTTTAAGTGTGTGGAATTAAAGGAAATCTAGGTGAAATGTTGCTTTTTTGTACACTAGTGAACACCTTTTTTTTTTTAAACACGCGCACACACACCTACACACATCATTGTGTCCCCCCCACATTACGGATGCTTCTGACACCCTTGGTCTGAGCGCGTGGGAGGATTCGCTCAGCCACAGCTGACATGACTTGCTCTTTTTGATCTTCAGAGGAGCAACAGAGTTCCGACTGTCAGAACATGTAGAACTAAAAATATCCGTTAACTCATCCACGTTGGACACAGAGCAGAACTAAGGGTTGCAGGAGACAAAGTCATTAAAACCGATGGAGAAGTGGTGTTTGAAATAATTGCACGTGCAGAATGTACAGATGGTCCAGTCCGGTCCTTCCTACCAGAGACCACCGCAGTGAACAGTAGATGGTCTGATAAAAGAGCTCCACAGATTTCCACAGTTGACACATTTATCCCATAAGACAGCACAAGATCCAGTGTGTGTCCTTTTTCATGAGGTGCACCTGTGACGGACTGCATGAGATTAAAAGAGTCAATAACGTTCATAAAATCTTTGACCAGAGGTCCAGCCTCGCAGCAGACATGAATGTTAAAATCACAACTTATTAAAATATGGTCATAGCATAAGTCCCGTCATAAAATCAGTAAAATCTTTAATAAAATCCTTGATGTATTTAGGTGGCCGGTAAACTGTGGTGCAGAGTAAAAGAGGAGAGAAGTTTAGCTCCTCCATCTGAAGCTCAAAACTCTATCCCCTACTTCACCAACAAGTCAAATCTCAGTAAACTACACATTCTCTTTTTCATCGTTCTCTGTCAGTGAAGTTACTAAACTGTTAAAAGATATGGAGACTAGAAAATCTGCAGGCCCTGATGACCTCCCTCCTTACTTTTTAAGTCTAACTGCACAAATTATAGCAGTTATACATTTTTAATCTGTCTATACAACATAATCCCAGATGCTTGGAAAACAGCGTTTGTGCTGCCATTATTGAAGGGAGGAGACCCCACTGTACTGAACAATTATTGACCAATCTCCAAACTCTGTATTTTAGCTGAGGTTTTAGAAAAGCTGATAAATACTCAAGTCAAGAAGTATTTGGACTCTTAATATTTTATCTTCCTTCCAATCTGGCTTCAGGAAACAACACAGCACAAAGACTGCTTCGCTAAAGATTTTTAATGATGTTGTTGAAGCTTTGGACGCTAAGGATTACTGTGCTGCACTTTACTTAGACCTGTCCAAAGCCTTTGATACTGTAGATCATGACATCTTATGCCATAAGCTCTCAGATACTGGCTTCTCAGATCACATTGTTGGCTGGTTCTCAAACTATCTCTCAGGTCAGAGGCAATGTGTTCAACATAACGGTACTTCATCTAGCTACATAACGTCACCAATGGTGTGCCACAAGACTCTGTTTTAGATCCCACTCTCTTTACAATTTATATAAATAATGTAGATCAAAACATTCCTGATGCATCGCTGCGTCTCTATGCCGACGACACTGCTGAGCTAACACAGTTGCCAAGATTTTCCAGCTTCTACAGTCTGCATTGGACACCATTCAGTCACACTTCTTCCACCTTAAACTGGTGTTAAATGCTGACAAAACCAAAATAATGTTGTTTTCAAACAGAAAGTTGGTGCCAGCAACTCTTCCTCCTACCTCAACCATGCATGGTGTTCCTATTGAGTTTAAGGATTCTTACAAATACTTGGGAAATTTGGTTGGTTCACATCTCTCTTTTAATTCAATTCAATTCAAAAATACTTTATTAATCCCAGTGGAAAATTAAATGTTGTTGTAACTCATCATCCTGGTTTCATTAAGGAGTTGTTCTAGATGCTGATGGCTGAGGGCAGGAAGGATCTCTTGTAGCGGTCTGTCCTACAATGGATCTGAAGAAGCCTCTGACTGAAGACACTTTGTTGTTGTATGACAGTCTGATGAAGAGGGTGCTGAGGGTTGTCTATAATGTTCTTCATTTTATGCCTTCTTTATAAGCTTGTTGATCTTTTTTAAGTCACTTGCTCTGGTGCTGCTCCCCCAGCAGATGATGGCAGAAGAGATAGCACTCTCTACAACAGACTTGGAAGATATGCAGCATCTTGCTGCAAACGTTGAAGGACTTCAGCTTCCTCAAGAAGTACAGTCTGCTCTGTCCCTTCTTGTAGACACTTCACTGTTGCATTTTTAGTCCAGTCTGTTGTCCAGGTGAACCCCAAGGTATTTATACTTCTCTACCACCTCCACTTCTTCTCCCATGATAGAAATAGTGTTGGACCTGTTCCTGTTTATCCTGAAATCTACAATCATCTCCTTTGTTTTGTTCACATTTAAGATGAGATGATTGTTTCCACACCATGCCACAAAGCGGTCCACCAGTTCCCTGTACTCAGCTTCTTGTCCATCTCTGATACACCCGACCACTGCAGAGACATCAGAATATTTCTGCAGATGACAGGAACCACATATTTAAACCACATATCAAAAACTTGATAAAGAAACTGAAATTAAAACTGGGTTTCTTTTTCAGAAATTGTTATGATTGTGGGCAACCCAGTTGATAACGAGACCCGAAACGACACAAGGCGAAGTAGTAAAACGTGACAGTGTTTATTATTTACAGTGTTATTTACAAATGTACAAGCTG